TTTTTTTTACATGGAAAATTAAAAAGAAACTTACTTAATAAAAGAAACAAACAACCAATGAATTGATTCATAGAATAAAATTTGAAGTTTAATAAAATTTTAGATAAAAACGTATAAACAACCAAATGAAAATAGTATATTTATATATCATTGAAATAGAATGCAGGGAAAAAACTTCTTTTCCTTTGAGGCGTCATATCAAAGAAGAAGGATTTTTCTATCCTTATTTATTTAAAGAATACTTGGAAGAAATACGTAATACATTCAACACTTGAATACAAAAGGAAGAAAAGAACAAACATAAATAAATTCCACCTCCAGTAGTTAATTTATGCTCGTAAGTTATATTTCTTTTGCTACGAAAGATTCTTATAATATTATAAATATTTATTAATTACTACAAATCGTAGTCTTAATATTTATTGATTTATCATATTTCCATTTGGGAATATTACAGTTATAATTAATTCTATTGATTAAATAATGATCATGATTTATAGGATCATAGTCACCGTAATCAAATTTATTGGTACCTTTCGCGACACTACGTTGACATCGTTAGTCAAAAAAACAACAATACATAAATTAAAAAGAAAGTTTTTATATAATATATGACAGAACGAAATGTCTCAATAAATATGATTACGGTGTCTATAATTCTACTTTTCTTGATCAAATGTATCCACCGGATACAAGAAAATGATTCATTAATCCTTTCGAGGCTAAATGAACTACCATTAGCTTACACTGTATTTTAGTGAGAAGATGACATACAAAATAGATTTTTTCATCTGTTATTCATAACAGAAAGTGACAGGGTGTGGCTTTGACGTTGTCAGCTTCTTCATCCTCATTCACACCCACACAGTCAAAACACGTTTTCAGAAGAATCTTACCTGAAACATTCGACCAGCAACTTCACTAACTGTATAGTTCCAATTTTCCATTTTGACGATTAGGCCAATCTTTAATTAAAGGTATTGTTGGATTATTTAATTCTTCAACAATATATCCAATTGCTTCTTTATTTCCTATTTCTTGAATGCCAATCAATGAAAAACTAAATAATAAAAACATATTATTATTTTTATTAGAAAAAAATTCTTTTTCTTTTGAGTACCATACTTATTTTCAAGAATAATTCGACATACAACTTCGTTTACACTTGGATTTTGTACTTTTTCATTTGTTAACTGTTGTAAATTCCATGAAGCAAAACGAAAATTTGTTTGTTTGTTTTTGCAAACTAATAATGAAGTTGGGGCTCTCTCAGTATAATGCATAAGTATTATAAAAGTCATAGTCATGCGCAATTTTTTTAAAGATCAATGGTTTGCATATAGGTAAAAGCGGTAGTTATATGAATACAGAAAAAAAACAGATTTATGCACACATATCAATTTTGTTTTATTGATTGATACAAGAAAATGAGATAATTCAAGTAATATAAAAAGGACAAGATGTTTTTAAAAAACAACATATCATTAAATGACAAAATTAACAAATATGTATATAAAAAAGAAAAGAACTATCACGATTATAAAATAAGCATAGTTAAAAATAAAAAAGTAAACTTTCTTCTCTACATCATCAAAATCACAGTATATGACATAAATATTCTTACTTTTGGTAAAATTTCTTTGAAAATACTGTTATGATTGTTGACATGATTCCGTATACCGTTTGCGTTCTTTCATATTCCGTTCGCGTTCTTTCTCATTCCGTTCGTGATTTTCAAGACAATATCGACCCAATATAACACAAAGGCAACAAAATAAAATAAAAATACCTCCTAAGATCACAGATACAACTCCATTTCCCACTGGGAATTCATGCGACAAGTTTTCGTCATTATCATTTAAAGATCTTGACTGATCTCTTGTATATAAAGATTCGACATCGTTCGTTTTGATTACTAAAAACAACAACACATTTTAATTCAATAGCAATTAAAAAGAAACTTACTAAATAAAAGAAATAAACAAATAAGGAATTGGTTCATAAAATTATACTAAAAGTTCAATAATATTCCAAGAAAAAAACCTATAAACAGTAAAATGACAATTGTATAGTTATATATCATTGAAATAAAATACAGGGAAAAAAACTTCTTTTCATTTGAAGCATCATACAAAAGAAGAGTATTTTTTAAAATAGTACTTGAATGAAAAGGAAAGAGCCAGAATAAATAAATTTCATCTTCAATAACAAATGTAAGCTCGTAAATTATATTTCTTTGTCTAAGAAAGATTTTTGCAGTAATATAAATACCTATTGTCTACTATAAATCATAGTCTGCATATTTATCGCTCTCTTATATTTCCATTTGTAGATAATGTTACAGTTAAATCTGTTGATTGAATAAAGATCATAATTTACGTATTTTTTCTAAATATAAGACATACCATAATTTAATCGTATTAATGTTATTGTGCTGAGAATCTTTAATGATAGGTGAAAAATATTCAGAAGTAGGGATTAATTAGCGATAAATATGGCGATTACGATTTGTGATAAATGATAAGCAGAGGTCACACTGTATCTTTACTTTATCGGGTAAAGTAAAATATTGAACTTTACTTTATTCAGTAAATTAAAGTATTTTTTCTACTCTTTGTAATTTGATTCTTTGAATAGTTAATATAGATGTAAAGTTTTCCTCCAATTAAGTATACAAATAATTGTTCTATTTTGAAAGAAGTGCGTGATGATGATGAATAAGTATATTTTACTTTCATAAATAAACAAAGTTAACTCATTTCGATATATATTGTCCAATATATACTTTCAATTAGTCCTTCAGGAACGAAACTTTTTTGACTTGAAAGATGGCTCTGGTCATCATTTTTTCAATAAAAAAAAGAACCGCTTTTCCCTTCTTTCAAACGGCATACTATTTCACAAATCAATCATTTAATATATACATTAAATAATCGAAATTCATGAATTCGAAAAAAATCACGTGTACATAGAAGCATAATAGGTAGTGGGAATATTCTCGAGAGATAAGAGTTAGAATCAATAAAAGAGAAATCATGATATCATTGAATAGTAGCAGACAATGGAGAATACTTGAAAAGACAAGTTTGAGATGATAGATGATGTTACTTACAGTGTAAATATCCTAATAAAACACCTTTTGTCTCTCTCATAAAAATAGGTGAGATATATACTGTCTCATTGTCCTTAAAGAGTTAAAACTGTTACATAATAATCAAGATAAGCATAAGTTTTTAACTATTTCTAACATTTTATATGTTAATGTATTAAGAAAAAAGTATTTAAATAGAAAGTTTCCTTTATCAAAGCAGTATTTTTTTCTAATATTGATGCTATCGATAACATATAAACTCACATCGGCTATGAATCAACCGAAACATTTCAGAGTAAACTCTTTCATTAATATCAATATTAGTTTATTAAAACATATCATTTACATGATGTATAATACTCTCTTTGTTTATATCTTTCTTTTTTTTCGATAGAAATTTTATTTAAAGCAATCAAATAATATCCGAATAAATTTAAAGTATTTACATACTTTTTCTGTATTTCAATTGATAATTCATGTACATATATCATACCATTTTTTTTGTTGTAAGAAATGAAAATTAAACAAATAGCTTTCTTCTATACTGGATATTTGCTATCACAAATCGATTGCTTATCCAACAGATAGCACTAGAAAATCAAATTAAAATATACTACTGACATCTATGAATATAAATAATAGGTCAGATTATTAAACAAATGATTATATTTTTG